TGGGTACAGAGTGTGGGCTGGAGAACGTAAGAAAAGCTCTGGAGAGAAATGGCAGCAATGGTCGTTCAACAAGGTGAATACATGTAATGCCGCTAAACTTTACACCCGAAAGTGGCTATAATGGTAAAACTTACGTGTATTTTATCACAAGAAAAAAGTATTCTAAATTGCTTGAGGTGAAGGATTACCTTCTCTATATACAAAATGTTGTCTACTTATCAGGGCCTCTGGCATCAAAAGGAGCAGGTTTTGAAACGCAGCTATTTCACATACTCTTCTACTTGACTAGTAATTATAGTAACTTCTCAAAGCCTCTGTTACCATATCTATAAAACACTTACAATATTATCTTCCTTGTGAGTTGATATAAAGAATAAACGAGTGATGCACTAAAAAACTTAGTTATGGTGCTAACAAGTATTGAATATTTTTTCAGTATTATTCATCACAGCTTCTGACACAGCTGTCATCTCTCACACCACCTGTATGAACTGGTATGACTTTGACCTTGATTTTCTGTCTATAAAATGGGAACTATTTTACTACGTAGTCTACATTGCAAAGCTGCCATGAAGATTAAATGAGACTACAAGCAAGCACTTGTAAACTGGAAGGCTATATAAAAATAAGATCCTTAACCACATAAAGATAAAATACATTAGAAAGGAAAGCCAGAAATGATTTTAAAAGTACTTGCATTTGCCACAAAGAACATTTCTCAATGTTCTTTTTTAAATATAAAAGCACATTGCAAAACAAAAATATACAGAAACCTCCAAATCTGGAATTACAATATGCAGGTTTCTCAGACATATAAGAGAAAACTGATCTCTCTTTCTGTCTCTCTCTGTCTGTCTCTTTCTCTCTCTCTCTCACACACACACAAACACACATTTCATAGTGGCACGTATGCTCATTAAAAAAAGCCAAATAACTATCATTCTGAAATGATTACTTACACTAGAGCTCATGACCAAGGAAAAACTACCTTCCACATAGGCTCTAGTCTCATGGCACACTCAGCCTCGATGAGAATTCTTTGAAAGGCCAAAGCCCCCACAGTTGAGTAAAACCAGATGCCCAGTGATCAACTGAGGGCATCTAGTTTCAAAGGGAGCATTTTGGAGGTTTTCCTGTACTCGGAGGGAAGTGCTGGCAAGCAGAGCCATTCCGTGCATGCACCTCCTTTTCCTGGGCAGCAGAGGGCGCCCCCACTCCACGAGAGACAGTCGTTCTCAGGGATTTGGCTTGCTTTCCCTTCCTGGCCTCCCAGACTGAAAGATATGTGAACTCCAGACCAGCAGAGCCCCTCTGTTCCCACAACCAAATTCCACTGAAAACATATTCCCATTCCCTGAGAATTATCAGCACATTCAAAAGAGTAAAAGGAGCCGTGGTGAAGGGAAATTGTGTGGACCACCCCACAGCAGGCTGCCTCAGGTCTCAGCAACTCTTTTCACACCTCTTTTATTCCCAGGAGAATTGAAAATGTCTGTGGCAGCAGTTGTGAAGGAGCAACTAATACCTCCCACAGTCCATAATCCCCAAGCAAGTTTCATGTAGGAATATTAAGTTACCGCCAAATACTATTGGACCGACAGCCTGGTTGAGCATTCCCACCGGTTCGCGATAAAAGTCACACAGGTGAAGCATGGGAGCGTTCATGGCGTTCAGGACAAACTTAGCAGGGACCCTACTGGCTTTGACTAAAATAAAGTCATCTTTCTTAGCACGTGTATGTGTGTAGAAACTTCTGAGGCTAACTCACACTGTGCAAAGAAACTGCTACCTTCTAATGCGGTGCACTGAGATAATTGCAAAATAATCTAAAAACATAATAAAGGGGAAAGTTTTCATAAGATTGCTGCTCTTTTTCCCTTGCCCCATTATATAGTTGGCTATTCAAATAGCCCTAACTGAATTCTGAGAAAACCCCAGATAAAAAGGTTTTGGTTGGATTCTCTTCATTCCATTTGCATTGCTGAAGAGCCCAGATAAATCTCTATAAGGTCATCATCCAGTGAGGACTTCCTTTCTTCCCTGTTTTCTATTCTCCCTGGCCTGTCCCATTTTCATATGCTATTTTTGTCATCCAGTCTCCTTCAGTCAACATGACATACATTCTTTCCAGATCAGCCAAGCATCACAAAAAACAAACAAACAAACAAAAAATACCCCAGACTTGAATCTGTATTAACTAATATGCCACTAAAGTCACTGTGCCTCTATGGCATTACAAAACTCTGGTGAAATTTACATTGAAGGAAACTTATGATAATGCCCTTCTTCAGGCATTATAATAATGCTTCAGAAGATGGGGCATACATAGAACATATAATAGATTGTTAGGCTCTGTGCTTTATTTATGCATCTAGATAGCAAGTGGAAGGTCCTCCAATAATAGGCCTGAGCATGGTCAAGAACCAGATTCAAATCCTGGCTCTGGTACTTTTTACAAGTGTTACCCAGAGTACTTTACTTCTTGTACTTTCCATAGTCTCAGATATAAAGATAACATACAAACAATCTAGGGTTGTTGAAAGGATTCCTATGTTATATTGATATTTCAACAACAACTGTGATTGCTCAGTAAACATGACATTCTCCTTTTGATTTAAATAAATTAAAAGTTACACAACCTTTCTAAAACTCGGCTTTGACAAATGTTACTTACAGGCAAAGCACTCTTGCATGTTACTGGCCTAGAAGTTCAAATGCTTCATTTTACTTTCTTAGTTTGAGAATATACCATGTCAGCAAGCTTCATGGGGGGAAAAAAAAAAGTAGAAATATATTTAGCTAAAAAATGTTGTCCTTTTTCTTGAAAACTCATTTTTCTTGAAATAGAGTGAGGCATCTTCTCTCTATTTAGAAAATTTCCTGGTATCTCTGAAAGTGAACAAACAGGTCTAAAGAAGACCAACAAAGTACAACTAAGATCTGTGTAGAAGGCTTTGATGCAACACTCTCAGCATTTCTAAATCACGCTGCACATCTAGGTTTCTTTCCAGATAGTATATTGATTACTTGCAGTCAAATTGTAGTCTCTTCAAACAGCATGTTCCTTTATCATCAAGGAACCAGCAATTTCAGACTCCGTAATTGAAAGCTACATAGTTTATAAGAATTGATATTCAGAATAAGACTTTTTAGTTTGAAGCTGAATAATGATAGATTTGTCTTGAGCCTGGTTGCTTGCTGGGAAAAAAAATAGTACATTTCAAGTTTCCATATGTTTGCCAGGGGAAACAGCACCTTGTGCATTCTTTCAGGAGAGGAAAATATTTCCATCCATCATACCAGTTTAGAGGACCTAATTCTAGAAATGTCATGTTGGTAGTTTCTTCTTTGCTGGGGATGGCTATTCAAGGCCAAATAAACAGTTGTAAATTCACCTCCTCATCAAAGAGAAATTATCTGTTCCATAATATTGGCCACACTGTTATTTTTACTTAATTGTTCTATTTTTGAAACAGGAAAAATGATATCAATGTATCACCTAGTTTTCCACAATGGGTAATGATAGTTTTGTACTCTCCTAAATAAAATAAAAGCCAATGCAGACTCTTTGGCCACATTTATATATTTTTTAAATAGAAGTCCACTGATCTTCACTAATTTTATTTCATACATATTATTTGGAAAGTGGCATTAATGATGTATCTGTTCTTTTCCTCTCTTGGAAAAAAAATACAGTCAATCTTGGTTCTAAAGCATCTTGGTTCTTGAACAATTCAGTCCTTGACTAAGATGTTCATGGGGAAAAAAATGCCTTGGCTGTCTAACAAACAAGGATGAACAATTCAATTCTTGATTCTCTACCCAACCATCCTTTTATGCTGATATCTGTATGATAAGTCATGCTTCTCTCAGGTGACAAAGGAGATTCAGTTTTCAAACAAATCGCTTCTTAAACACTTCCAAGAACAAATTAAGTTCAAGAACCGAGGCTCCACTGTATATTTCAAGATTTTATTTGAATATAAATCCTGAAATTACTGTTTAAATGATCATAAAATATTTTGGGATATATTTTAAAAGCAACAAATTCCAATTAATTGATAATGGTACAAATAGCTCATATCTGCCCCCCTTTTCTGCAAATATTCTCAAATTTAGTGATTTCTACTCAAAATAGATGTTCTGATTCCCATCTCAATAAATATGCATTTTAAAGACAGAAGTGTTTTATGCAAAGTTCTGGAATGTGTAAAACCTGAGAGATTTTATTCCAAAGCAGCTCTCTAGCAACATATCATCAGTCCATTTGGTAAGACACAAATTGCACCTACTGCACCAGACCACTAAAGAAATATCCTGCTCTCTCAGTTAGGAATGTTTGTAGAGAATAAATACCTCTAAGACACGGGAAGTAGTTCATTTTACTGGTTCTATGTGTATATGTTATTGTAAAAAAGTACTACTTTCATAATTTATTAGAGTATCATGTGATCACAGTTTTGGATGTAGCTCCTCTGTGGTGCCTCTAGAGACTATGCCAATATACCTTGATCCATCTCTTCTTTTAAATTCTATAATAGAGCATCATACAGTTTGTGATTTCAAATTTCTTTCTATTCCATATATATTGATATTTTAAAAGATTTCATTTATTTATTTTTAGAAAGGGTAAGGAAGGGAGAAAGGGAGGGAGAGAAACATCAATGTGAGACAGAAACATCAATAGGTTGCCTCTCCCACACCCCCAGCCGGGGACCTGGCCCACTACCCAGGCATCTGCCCTGACTGGGACTCGAACTGGTGACCTCTCAGTTTGAAGGATGACACCTAACCTACTGAGCCACACCAGTCAGGGCTCATATATATTGATTTATACTTTACAAAAAGTATATATTCTTTGTGGGCACAGATACTTGAAATGTTATAGATCCACAGTTTTTTAAAGTGACAAGCATAGAACAGGACCTCCAAAAAACATTTTTTCATAATAAATAGCCTTAGAAAGTGTTATTGAATACAAACAAGACTTTTTACTCTTCCCGTCTCCGACTGTTGCTGTGAGAGGAGCTTCTGCCATGTCCGCCCACCTGCAATGGATGGTCATCCGGAACTGCTCTAGTTTCTTGATCAAAAGGAACAAGCAGATGTACAGCACCGAACCCAATAACCTGAAGGCCCACAACTCCTTTCACTACAACGGGCTAATTCACCGCAAGACGGTGGGCATGGAGCCAGCGGCCGATGGCAAAGCTGTGGTGGTCATCATGAAGTGGAGATCCGGCCAGCGAAAGCCATCCACCTCCTGCGTGCGGACCACCATCTACAAGAATGCCCAGGCCATGCTGAGCAGCATCCAGCACATGATCTGCACGAACAAGTACCGCCCAGATCTGCGCATGGCCGCCATCCGCAGGGCCAGTGCCATCCTGCGCAGCCAGAAGCCCGCGATGGTGAAGAGGAAGCGGGCCCGCCCCACCAAGAGATCCTGAGCACCGCCCCCCGCCGCCCCCAAGCAATAAAGGTATCAGCCAACTTTCTTCAAAAAAAAAAAAAAGACTTTTTAAAATACAGTGATTTGTGGCGGTATTATTAATATTAAGAAATCTTGAAAAGTTATTTGTAGGCTACAGTCCTTTAACCACAATTATTGTTTCGCCTTCCAGCATCCCCTCCCACATACTCCTGACAGTAAGTGAGAAAAGTGTGGTCATCTTAATTTCCTATAAAATCCTGAAAACAGAATTTTACAAATTCAAAAATCATATTCATTTCTTGAATGTAATTGTTAATTTTCAACAAGGGCCGTGAAGAAGTTTATAAAACTATCTAGGTGATAATCTTGAAACCAAATTAAGTAAAACATGTACATTAAAAAGCAGAGAGAAGTAAAATATGAAAGTAGTAAAATTACTTGGTGAAGTTTGCAGGCTCCAGTACATGATTTCAAGTGAAAACTATCTCCAGAATAGATTTGTGAATTTTGTGGCAGAACCTAAAATGTATTTAAAATTTGGTCTTTTTAACCTTGATGTGTTTGTTTTGTTATCTTAGTGTAAAAAATATGGTATTAGTGAAGGTAGAAAGTTTTCTTTTTTGAAATTTAAGAATTACACAAAGTCTCTTAAAGAGTCATAAGATCCTATAGCTATATGAAAATAAAGATGTTTTACCTAAACTAAGTAGTCAGTTAGTTCATATTCATCTTTACCTTTTAAATTCAATAAATAGACTATTTGTCTAATTTGCTTCATATAAAAGAGATGGCCACAAAAGCATAGTGAATTACACAATAATATTTTATACACGTGAATTTAAAATTACAACTTTTTGAAGAACACGCTATAATATTCTATGAGGATTAAAGAATCCTAATTTAGAAACTGAGTGGCAATAATGTGCACCAAAGCAAAAAGAGTATCAATCTGTATGAAATTTTTTTTGGCTTAAAAAAAAAAGAGGGGTGTTAAACTGAAATATGGAGAGTGAAACTGTTTCAACTCCAACATACACCTTATTCACACACACATTCCTCCAATACATAATCACTATCACTTTTTTTGTTTACTACCACCTGTATTCATATTAAATTTCGCTTTAAAAACACGGACCATTTTGCAGTAGGTTGGATATTTCCAGACACAGCACATGAGTAGTGGCTATTTTATCCAAAACTCTTCCTTTATCACTCCAGATCTGCAGTCTAATTAAGCTCCTGCAAGAAAGATCATAATGAAAGCAAAATTTACATTATTATAGGCGTGTGATTGCTTGTTCACTCTAGCTGGAGTAGAAAATGAACTCCACTACGTACCTTCAAAGATGGTTCAATCCATTCTACGATATTTCCCCTCCGGATAAACAAGAGTGTGGTTAGCAAGCTGGAGCACCGAAAACTTTTCCTGAATGGAGAGTTCTCGCCCATCTCAGCAGGATCAAAGGAAAGGGAACGGTTTCAAAACAAACACAGTGAGTGTTGTTTGGATACTGTAGACTATGCTACTGGTCTCCACTGTCATGTTGCAATTAAATTGTATTCAGAAGTTATACATTGTTATTAGAAATAATATTAATAATAATCCTGACAAATAAAAGTCCTGAAACTGAATTGAAAGCTCTATGTTGGGTCTCACCATCAAGGATGACTTGCAGGAGAATTATTGATAGCCAGATGAAGGGACTACATCTTCACGTCTACATCTAAGGCCTACATGACCTTAGGCCATGAAGGTGTAAGAAGCAAAATAAATGCAGTTCTCATGTAGCAATAATGCATTTGCAAGAACCTGAAACAAAACTTTCCTTCCAGCTACTGCTTTCATGTTAGAGAAATAAAATACATGCACAAAATTTAAAGCTTTGTGTGTCTAACCCTTTCTGACCCCTTTTACATTCAGTTATTAGTAATAATAACTATGATAATAATGCTTATGCCCAGGACTGGATGGAGTTAATTAATATTTATAAAGCTTTCTGAAAATGAAAAGTACTATTTAAACACTAAGTATATCCTTTTTGTTTCTTCTTTCACCCTTTACTTTCATTTCCTTCTTTTATCATAGATCAATTTCTGTTTCATCCTGTCTGCTAATTTTTTCACTGGCTACAGTTTCTACTCTTTTTTGCTGTTTTTGCCCATGACTCCACATTGATCCCTATCACTCTCGCATTTCAACCTTGTCTTCTTCCCTCCAGTGTTTTAGGCACTTCTTTCTCACTTTCATTTTAATTTCTTCTCTCTAAGTTTTCTTTATCTACTCCTCACTCTCTCATTCTCTTTCATCTTTTGTGTGTATATTTATCTTTTTAACTTTCCTAACTTTTTTAAACATCAGTAAAACATTAGAACTGACGTAGCTTTTAATTACATTTTATCCCCATGTTATGGGCTATTGAGACCAAGTAGATTAAATTCAATGTGTTGTCCCCAATTCTTTCCTAGTAGACATTTTCTATTAGACAGAAACCTCCATGAAATGATAGGCTGTGACCATCTGGAAAGTCTGAATAAAATATTGCTTTTAATGAATTCCTCCACTCCATAACATCCTGACAACCTAAGAATGAGCTTTCAGTGTCTTAATGATACTATGAGTTTTCAAAAGGCATATATCTTAGAGGATAAGTATTGTGTCAGGTTGCAGGTGGTCTCACATATACACCTCCCACTGTATGGGTAACCTCTAAAGGCTTATTGGCCACCAATAAATGACTGGAATTTATCAATTTATAATTCTCTTTCTGAAAGTCAAACTACAGAAATGATATACTTGTCTCATTAGGCTTGTACAAAGAATTAAGTTTGGTTGTAAATACTGAACATTTTAAGTTCTGTATTTTAATAATACAGTTCAAGATATTGTACTGCTTAAGAGATTCACTCATATTTTAGAAATAGGATGCCAAATTGGAAGAGCTACTTAGTTTATAAGCTCGTGACTCAACTAGTTGCTTCCTAATTATACTCACTCATGAGAGTCCCTATATCTAGTTATATACATTGGCATCTGAATAATCTAATTAAATCACTTAAACACTGCTATAGTTTTGCTCAAGTGCTTTGGGGCTTTCCAGTTGGTTATAAAGTTCAAAGCTTACCAGTTAAGACCCACAAAATCATTCCTTAGCTTACATTTTTGAAGTCAGATAAAATAGTAAACACATACCATGTGTTATATTAGGGGCAGTTGGGCTACATTTTCCCATGTGTATGTGCCTCATAGGAAATACAAGCCATTGTATCTAAAATCCAAACACCCAGCTGAACTCAGCATGGACGTTCTGTTCAGTCATATATTCATCTAAACCCTGCATTCTACCTGTAGTTGTGACCTGGTCTCACAGTACCTTCTGTGCTTTCCAGACTCTTTATACCTTCATCATCCCGTATGACCCTACCACTCCTCTCTGCTTATCATTTTTTATAAAAAGCTTTACCAGAAATTTTGGAGTGATTATCCCTCATCCTATGATAATCATTGCCTTGGAGGCTTATTTTGATGATTAATCAAGCATAGGCTCATTATTTTACTCAACAGATATGCTGTAAATTCTTACAATGTTCAATAAATTGCTTCATTTTGTAGGAGCTGTGAAAATGTATGGAAGAGTTGCTACCGTTAAAGATGCTTATTTTCTCAGGGACATAAATAAGGAAAAGATGATATGTAACAGTGAAGACCACTAACTAAACAGTAAAGGTGTAGAAGGAAACATTTTCAGCAGGCTAGTGACTAGGTAGAAATAGGTAGTGTTAGAACTGAGTATATTACTGATGGATAAAGAAGGGTTGAAGGATATTTTGAGCAAATGCATTAGTTACCTATTGCTATGAAACAAATTATCCCAGAATTTAATGGCTTAACACAACAAACATTTCATTTATTATCTCACAGTTTCTGTGGATTAGGAGTCTGGATGCAGTTTAATTTAGTTTCTCTGACTCAGTGTATCTCATGAGATTGCAATCAAGTCGTTGGCTAGAGCTGCAGAATCATCTGAAGGCTCTCACGTCCAAGATCATTCACATGGTTGTTAGCTAACCTCAGTCCCTTGTCATGTAGATCTTCCCATAGGGATGGCTTAGGACAGGCATCTGGCTTCCCCCAGGTGAGAGGTTCCAGAGAAACAGACAAAGGCAGAGAGTAAGTACACCCAAGGCAGAAGGCCAATCTTCATAGTCTAATCTCAGACTGACATCCTATTACCTCTGCCGTATTCTATTCATTACAATCAAGTCACTATAATCCAGCCCACACTCAAAGTGAGGGTATTACACAAGGGTATGAGCACCAGGGATGACTGGGGCCATGGTGGAGGCTGCCTTACGCAGCAGTGATGATAATGCAGGGAAGGGGTCATGGATGAAATGCTCGTGGCCGTGAGCATTTAGGAAGCAGTAAGCAGTCCAGGTGGCTAGACATGTCACAAGAATATGGAGAGCTCTGATTTTGCTGAAAAGTCTAATTTTAGGAAGCTACTGGAGAACTATTGAAATAATGAGAACAACGTCATGGTAAGAGTGGTTTATTTTAGAAAAAATTAAATTCATATTAAGAAGCATGAATTTGAGATAGGAACCTTTAAAAAAAAGGATACCAGTTAAGAGACCTAGAAAAAAGTCTATATATTAGACGCATTTAAAACAAGAATCATTTTGAACTGTATAATTTTATTATATAACTTTTTGTGCATAACATGCATATTGCTTGTCTACTGAGACTAAATTCTAAGACAAATGAGAAGCTACGCCTTTGTATCCCCATTTTGTCTAACAGTGCACTTGGTGCTGGATAAACATCGGTTAAAAAAAAAAAGGAAAAAGACCATGAAAAATTAGTATTCCAGAAGAGAGGAGAGTTTCAGAAAAGTGTGGTTGATTTTCTCTAAATAATACAAAGTATTTTGGTTGAAACTGAAAATAGGAGCTTAGATATAAAAAGTAAGAGACCTTCCCAAAGGTAGTCAGTGGGGAGGCCCTGCAGAACTCAGC